AAATGTTTACTTGTTTAAAAGCAGGTTTTTATATGTGATCTTTGGTTTTAATCTTTTCTGGCAATAAAGACATCATATTAAGTTTAAAAGAATAGTTGTAAAATAAGTGACTTTAAGGGATGCCAGTCAGATTTGCTATTGGTTTGATCATTTAATCTTTTTTGAGAACATAGTCTTCTCATTTTCTTAAGATGTAAAAAGGAATGAGGTGCTTATGAAGGGCAATCATCAAATCTTAATTTTTAAAAATACTATAGCATAATTGCTTTGCTCACTTTTTGGCACCTACATTTAGAAAATCAGCTGTCGTCATTTGAAACATTAAGTGAAGATAAATGATACTGTTTCAAATTCTCTATTGCAGAGCTTCCTTTGACAAATGTATTCAGAACCCTCATGCATGGAAAAAAAAAACATTTATGTAAACAGTGAGTCACTGTCACTAATGTGGTTACAGATTTAGACAAAATTGGCCTTTTGGTCATTATCATAATTGACATTTTGAACCATCATCTGGTTCAAGAGACTTATTATCAGTATAGATGTGATCATAACATGAAGTCCAGCTGTTTTTGACAATTTACTGGACTCCCCTCACCCCAGGATGTTTTGTTTAGCTGCTTATCTGTGACCCACAGCTGGCAGAGAAATGCAGCATACTGACCATGAAGTTGCACTGTGGACTCTAAATATTCCCAGCCCTTAGTGTTTCCAAAGATGTAGAAAAGACATCTAGTTTATTTTTTGTTTTTAAACACATTGCTTGGAAGTCTCACTGAGCCAGAATACTGATTCAGTTTTATATGTATTATTTTATCTATTCCAAAGCATGATCATAAGTAGTTAAAAAGTTATACTGTGATCATTCCTTGAAAGGATCACAGCTGATAGTAGAATGGCCTCTGCATTAGGATAGGAACTTTATTTTATTCATTGAGGCATCACTGGTGCTGCCTGTAATAGTACCCTCCACTCCAAAATACTTGTAGGATGCGTACACCTCCACCACGTAGCATAAGGGAATGTAGCTATTCTTCTGAATTCTTGCCTTTTGTCTATTTTAATTTGTACTTATCAGCAGAAATTGAAGTTTGAGGAGCAAGCTTAAGTCATAGTTTTACCGAGTTTATAAATGTGTTTCCCTTTCCAGGTGTGGTGGTGCATGCCTGTAATCCCAGCGCTCTTGAGAGGCAGGGGTAGGAGGGTCTCCTACATAATGCGTTCAAGGCCAGCTTAGGATACAGAGCAAGACCCTGTCTTAAAAAAAAAAAAGGCATCTCTCCACTATAAGCTAATTCTATCCAACATGCTGCAGTGTTGAATATTTTAAAAGTTAAGAGAGGTACTGGGGATTTAGCTCAGTGGCAGTGCACCTGCCTCTCAAGTGCAAAGTCCTGAGTTTGATTCCAAGTACCACAAGGAAAAAACATTATATAGTAGCTGTTGTTAACCCCCTCTCCCCGCAAGTGATATTCCTCCCTCAGCCTCTGGAGTAGCTGGGACTATAAGTACATGCCACTCACTGTGCCAGGTTGTAAAGCTACTTCTTAAAATTTGACACCTTTGAGCTATTACTGCCTCCATACTTGTGGTCTGTTTTTGTATTATGGCTTGTGTTTGGATGTCCCCCTAGAGCCTCATGTGGTCTTAGGTGGGGCTTTTTCAGAGGTGGCTGAATGTGGAGTGTGTGACTGATTCATGGTGCAGTGCTAGGCCCAGGGGTACTAGGATTAAGGGTGTGAGTGCCACCTGCCCTAAACAGGCTGAGTAAGATAAAAGGAGCAAAAAGACTTCTCTTGTTGCTTTTGCTGCCTAGTGGGTGCCATGAATTATTGTTCTCTTCTGTGGTGCGCCTCTGCCATGTGCCACTCTACCTTGGAGCCAGCTAACTATGGACTGAAACCTCTACAGACTATAAGCTAAATATTTTGGATGTCAGGTATTTTGTCTCAGTGACGAGAGGAAAGTAACACAGTCTGATTTTTAAGATTCAGTGTGTAAATCCATTTGTTTTTATATCAGTGAAAAATAAGGTTCTTTTTTTTTTCTTTTCTTTTTCTTTTTTTTTTTTTTTGGTGCCAGGGATCAAACTTGGGTCCTTGTGCTTGCGAGGCAGGTGGCAGAACCACTGAGCTACATCCCCAGCCCAAAAAATAAGGTTCTTACTTTCTATTGCCTTCTTAAAGTTTGAACTGTATGTTCTTCTTAAAAACATATTTTGGTGCGTAAGGTCCTGACTTCGATCCCTGGTACCCCTCCTGAAAAAAACCCCCAAAACCATATTTTGGCAAAAAAGTGCTGTTTATCCCCCTCCATTCTTGAACATTTTAGGAGGCCTGATTTGTGTCTCTTAGTTTTTTCCTTGTTTATTTGGGTTAAACCTGATTCATCTGTTCCTGTAATACCAGCACTTAGAGGCTAAGGCAGAAAGATGACCTTGAGTTTGAGGCCAACCTGGGCTACATAGTGAGTTCAAGATCAGCCTGAACTACACAGTGTGACCCTGTCTGAAAACAAAAAAGACAAAAGCAAAAAAGCCTGATTTCATTTTTATAATTGTGTGGTTTTGTTTTGGTGCTAGGGGTCAAACCCAGGACCGTGCATATATTAGGCAAGTACTGTGCTCTATCACTAAGCTATATTTCCTGCTTGTTTTTCTTTTTAACGCTATATAAATGGTACAGATTGTTATGCTTTTTTGCCTTTGTTGAAGCCCATGCGATAGGTGATTGTTATAACCTATTGCCCATATGTGATTGTTATAAATGGCGCACATGAAACCACTCATTGGAGGCTTTTTATTTTGTGAGGAAAAGAAATATTTATTCCAGTGAAAAGAGACTAAAATCAGGGATAGATTTTTAGTAGCTACCTGGGAAGAGCTGAGTTTATTATAGATTATAGTTTATTGTAGATGGGCTGACACTGGGAGAGAGAAATAGCAGCAGCTCGCTGGGAGATATTTCATCCATGAGTGGATAGACCACCGTTAGGAGAGAGACACTAGCAGCTAACTGGGAAAGGAAGTAGGCTTATTAGGAGCTAAGGAATCTGGTGTGTAATGTTTATGATTGAATCAAAGGACACTCAGCACAGGTGTGTGGGGAGATTGTCTTCTGTTTACTGAAAAATGTCCTGTCATTTGCTGAAAGCAGCCTGTTTGCTTTTGTCCTGTTTGTGAAGTACTGACTTAGGTTAGTCACAACGGTGATCACATAAACTATTCGTGCAGGTGTTGAATATGTCCATTCCCTCTTGCTCTTCTCAGGGCCTCCCTGTCTTTCTCTTAGTCTCTTAGTCATTATTTCATTATCCTTCCATAATGGGACTTTGACTATATCACCTTGTGTTCACCTCTCCAATGAAGTTAGTGATGGTAATAACTAATATCATATTATTTAATTTTTAAGTATATTGATATTTACATTCTTTTTAGGCTTCTAACAGTATATAAAATGTCTATTATAACTGTGTTGTGGTAAAAATGTTCAAATAATGTGAGAAAGATGTTACACTTTTGGTGATGAAATTTAAGGGTAAATTTAACACAGATTAATTTAAGGTTAACTAACCCCTGCTCCATCCATGTACCCCCCATCTGTTCATTAGTCCCTAATGTATTTAAATATCCCTCATAACTGGACCTTTTAGGTAATTCTTTAGCATAACCACATTCTACTGCTATAAATATGTGCATTTTCCAGGTCATCTAAACGCAACTACTTTTATTCTCTGAGGAATACATGACATGTATCATGGAAGTGTACCGTCTGGTACCAGAGAGTTTTTTTTTGGCTGGCAGTGTTTCACATTGATATGATTCCTTTCAATCAGGATAGTTGATTGTGAGTGATTAGAAGAGGAGTCATTGTTGGCATTGAAGCTGACTGTCTCAGCCTTTTTGTTGAGTCTGCCTTTCATTGGTCCATCTCTTGGAACTTCAAAGGCACCTGTGAAAATTTTACATAAATGCTTCTATATTAATGAATTGCTCATTTTTTGAAAGAGTAAATTGAATTGAATAATTTCTAAAACATGTCAGATGATTCTTAAAATAGTGATTTCCTTGGATTAAATATAGCATCATAAGTTTATTCTCACTCATTGATTTAGTATATATCTTGAGTCTAATCCTTTCCTTCTTGATTACCTTCTGGACATATATCTACTTGGGAGATCACCAGCATATCATTGCTGGCCAGCTTCCTTGGAATCTGTTCCTCATTTCTTAATATTATGGTCTTTTTTCTAATTCTGTTATTTTTAATTTAAATTTTTTGAGACAGGGTCTCCCTATGCAGTTCAACTTGGGCAGCCTTGAACTCATGATGTAGCTCAGGCTGGCCTCAACTCGCTGCAGTCCTCCTTACCTCAGCCTCCCAAGAGCTAGGATTACAGGAGTACACTACCATGCCTGCCTAATTCTTTGAGTTTTGATACTCTGAACAGTCTTGTTCTTTAAATCAGTTCCAAATGATGAATTGTGCCTGCAAATATTGAAAGAACTTATCAAAAAGGAATTAAAGTTGATTAGATCTTTTATTTCTGTAAAGTTCAGATTGTTGCCTAATGGCAACATGAATTCTTCGTGTTAACAAAAAAGATAGATCTCTTGGTTGAAACCAATTATTTGTACAGAAGATCTTAAATTAGTAAGTCCAAGCCTAGGGTGTCTGTGATCTTAGTTTTTAAGTTATCTGTTCCTTCAGAAATGACGTTTGCATGCCTGAGGAAAAACTCCTAAATAGGAGTATCACAAGGTTCCTGGAAAGCTCTGTTCTTGCAGCTCAGCAGTTCTGAAGGCTTGCTGAGGCCTGACTGGGTCCATTTTGCAGTTAAACATTGTATTATCCGTATTTGGCTAAACGGGTCACATTGCAATGATCTAAAAATCTATTGTCTTATTAGTCTTAATATAGAGAAAAATCTTGAAGGGAGACTTAAGTGGCTTAACTTGATTCTTAGGATATTTGCCGTTATAAAATAATTGTTTTTTTCATTTGCAGATTTCCTTGTGAAACCTTGTATGGTAGTAGAAAAATTCTCAGGACAAACTTCATTTGGTAAGCCCCCCCCCCATTCTTTCTGTGATAATTTAAGGAAGGGAAAAATTAATTTGTAGATTGATTGTGGAGACCTGGTCGTCTTTGTCCATAATTATTTAGATGAGTTTTTCTGTTTATTGTAATGCCCCTAGATTTTTTGTTTTCAGTAGGACTCAGGCCAGGTTACTGTATTCATATATAATTATGGCTTAATACAATGTTTTATGACTTGTATCTAAATTGTATTTTTATGAGTTGGAACACTAATCTTTTTTGTTTAAACAGTCCTCAGAAATCTTGAGTTTTTTAAAATTGAAATTTGGTTGTGTTTCCTTAAATTGGTATATATCTATATGAAAAGTAAAGCCTGTTATTACTGGAGTTAATAGTATAAATGTGAAGTTTCTCTAGAAAAACAAATTTGAAAACTCTGGTAGCCTCTTATGCAGGGTGGATATTAATCCCTGCCCTGTTTTATAATTTGTCCCTCTGATATAAGGGGACAAATGTAACTCCCAACCTGCTACATGTCAGATATGTTGAGTTAGTGTTCCCTGAAACTGAAGAATAGCTCCTGAGAGACAGGAGGGCACTCAAAAGTGCTACAGAGACCAGTTTTTTGAGAGTTTTATAGAGCAGAATAATGAGATGGGTACAAGTGGGTCAGATTATAATCAACCAATAAGATTATAAGTATAGCCACTTAGCTAATATTGATCAGTAGTAGCAAGGGCATATGGATGACATTGTTAACCTTGGTCGAGGATCTGTATTTCAGTCTAGTCTTAACTAGGTGGGAGAAGATGGCCCACCCCTAAATAGCTAATGATTTAATTCTGTGAGAAATCTCAAAAGGATGGTACCAGTAACCTCAAGATTTTGTTTATCTCTTACCCTTCGGGAAGTATGTAAATCCAGTCCTTGTGATTTTAATCTTCAGATGAGCCTCCAGCTACGGTTTTGTGTGTTTCCATCTTTTGCACTGACTCTGTCAAGGGTTGAGCCCTGTCTGAGTGCCTGTATTATTTCTACCTAATTTAGCTGTCTATAATACTTCTTTTCACAAACAGTGTCTGTCCCTTACTGCATGTTTATTACTGCCTGTTTATTTTAGGGAATTGTAATCCAGATTTGTTGAAAAGTTGTTGCATTGGCTTTAAATTTGTAAATCCAGGTCATTCCTTTGTTAGGTTCTTTGTCTTGCCATTGCCTCTAAAACAAGGATCAACCTCTGTAACATGACATATCTCTGTGTAAGTAAGCTTAAAACATCTGTAGCTAGTCATTTCTTCCCTGTTCATCTAGTTCCCTTCTTACTGTAGCCACATTGAACTTCTTCATATCTGCAAGTTTTGTTCTGTTTTGTTTTTTTTTGGTACCAGGGATCAAACTCAGGTCCTAGCCCTTGTGAGGCGGGCAGCAGAACCACTGAGCTAAATCCCCGGCCCTTCATATCTTTAAATACTCTCTGCTTTTTTTTGTGGGGGGCACTCTTATTCTGCTGCCTGTCCTATTTCTGTTGACCTGTTTGTTTCATAGCTTATAATCTTGGTGGTTCAACCATTAAAAATTTAAGTATTTCACAGAGCATTCTTTGAGTGCTTAGGTCAGAATCCATTTCTTTTGTCTTTGGTATTATGAAAATTTTATTGATTAGAGTTGTAATTTTTCTTTTGGTAAGAATAAGGGAGGAGAATAAATTGGTTTAAACAGAGATTGGTTATAACAATCCTGGTGGTGTAGGTTATTGGTTTGTTTTTTTTCCTCTGGATAATGAAAGATTGTAAAGTATATAATTTGTGTCCTTTGTCCAAGTTGCTTAGTATCTTACTCAGTTAAATTATTCTTGTTTACAAGTGTAAGTTTTGTTTTTAAGTAAGGAATTGGGCCACTTCCCCATACATAATAGGTGCTTGAAAGAAGAGATACCATGTTTACTAGGAAGATTAAATGTTGCTTTTGCTATTGGAGCCTGATCAGACCCCCAATCACCTGACCAAAGGTACGATGGCAGGATTAAACAAATGACAAGACAAGATCTTAATGCATAAATGGGGGACCCAGGATGGTCAAAGTTCTTATCTGACCAAGACACTGTCTCCTGGAGTTTTCCACTATGTATTGAACATGCAACTTCTAGTAGGGGTAAGAGGCGGTGGTGAGGGAACAGTGAAGTGGAGAGCACTGACGCAGGTTTCTAGCAACAAGGGAACAAAACATTCTAGCAAGAAACAGCTCAGAAATTAGTGGGAAAATTGTTTCTTCCCATGGATTAACTTTTGCCTCTATAGGAGTGTTCTGTACGAGTCACATTGCCCTTAGCTGCGCTGTTGTCTTGCCATCCAAGATGTCACAGTGTTGAGGATCATTGAGACGTTTGCTGTAGCCAGTGGTATAGGGAGTTGTTCTGTTCCCACACACCAACTGCTGGCTCTTCCGGCAAGCCATTGAGTGCTAATAGGCAGACTCAGACTTTAATATGAAAGGCCAATTTATGAATTGTAGCTTGCTCAGGGTGGTCTGCATCACTTTACTTTTGTAAAAATTTCTAAGAATTTTGTAAGAATTTCTAAGAAGTCACTAGATGATACTGTTGATGGAGTTGAGAAAATCTTTTCAGGTCCTCACTGTCAGATTCACATATATATTAAGAAAAGAGAAATTTGACCTTGATGTTTGGAGTGGGAACATTGTCCTTCATTTGGCCCAGGGAGGAGTAGTGCTTACAGACTTAACTTTACAGAAGGAAATGTAATCCAAACATTACCCAGATCCACAGTGTTTTTAGTGTTTACATTGCTATAATAATGAAATGAATATTGATTGTGAACTTTAAAACCAATCTGTAGATAATCATCAAAGACATATTTGTGAAACAATGAAAAAGTGTTACATTCTTATCTGAAGATACATGATCAGGATTTTGAGGGAAAGATATAAAATTTTAATTTTGATGCCAAGAAATATTATTTAAATGAATGTGTCCTAGATTAAAGGAGACCATAGATGTGACAAATGGGTCCAATATGTGATTGAGGGACAGATTCTTTATTAGAAGGGAGGGGTTACTATGAAGGATATGATTAGATCTGTTAACAGAAGTAGAGTTTAGGGGGTAAATTAGAGTATTGTTGATGTTAAATTTTCTGAATTTTTTAAACAGAAACTGGGTTAAGAGATTATCTTTATGTGCATGTGTGCACACACATGTGCATTCACCTGCACAAAAAGACAGTGTTGGGAACTGTCTTATTCACATTCTTTGTTTATAGTGGCTTGTTTTATTTAGCGAACTACAGGTTTTACCTGTAGAACCATGTACTGTTATTTATATCTAAACTGCACACAGAGCCATTGATTTATCTGATTCCCCCCCCCTTTCTTTTTGCAGTACTAGGGATTGAACCCAGGGATGCTCTGTGACTGAATACTTCCCCAGGACTCCTCACTCCCTCTTTCATATTAGGAGCCGGACTCTTGCTATGTTGCCCAGACTGATGTGGAACTTGCAACTTGCTATACTTTTGCCCCTGTTTCCTGAGTAATAGATGATGATGATAATTAGAGGTGTGAGACAGGATCTAGCTATGTAGTCCAGGCTGGTCTTGGACTCACTGTGCAGCCCGGGCTGGCCTAGAATTCATGGCAATCCTTCTGTCTCTGCCTCCCAAGTGCCGGGATCACATACATGTGCCACCATGCCTGTCTTTCCGTTTTAAAAACTTTTTTGTAGAATAATTTGTTTTTCTAATTATAAATGTAAATATCCTAAAGGGGTGACAAGGAAAAATCCTTATTCTCACTCTTTCCTAGGGAAGTGACATTGTTGATGTTGTTTAATTTTTCTGTACACATATAAGCACGCTTCCTAGTTAATGCAATAATGCTTATGCATATTTTTATCTTAAATTACAGAACATTTAAACTTCTTATTTATTTATTTATTTATTTATTTATTTATTTATTTATTTATTTATTTATTTATTTTGGTTTTTTGAGACAGGGTCTCACTATGTAGTTGAGACTGACCTGGGACTCACTGTGTAGCCCAGGCTGGTCTCTAACTCACAGCGATTCTCCTGCCTTAGCCTCCCCAGTGCTGGGATTATAGGCGGGTGCTACCACGCCCAGCTTTTTGTCAAATTTATAACTGTGTTGATGATTTAATTTTTTTGCACTTACAAGAATTGAACCTAGGGCCTTAGGCAAGTCCTCTACCACTGAGCTGCATTCCCCAGTCCTTTTAAATTTTAAAATTTTAGACAGGGCCAGCTAAGTTACCAAGGCTGGCCTTGAACCTCCTTTTATTTTTTCCCATTAAGTTTATTGGTTCATTAGGTGTAAAATACAGTTGCATTCATCACTGGGATCTTGTACCTTTACATGTATCTTGGATCCTATTTTTTTTTTTACCCTATTCCCCTGCCCTTCCTTCACCCTCATCCACCCTTCCCTATTTACAAAGATTTTGTTTCCATTTTTTCCTTTTTTAATATTTTTTCTTTTCCCCTCTCTCCTTTCCCCTACCCCTCCCACTTCTCCTGCTCCTTTAGACCTTTTCTTTCTATTTCATGTTGTCATTTATACATTTCAGTCCTTATTTACACTTTTGGTTTTTCATACCAGAGAAACTATTTGGTATTTACACGTGCATATCCTATTTATTTCACTTAGAGTATGGCCTCAATGTGCATCCACTTAGCTATAAATGTCTAGTTTCTCGTTCTTTATGGCTGAGTAGTACTCCATTTTATTAAAAAAAACAAAACAAAAGACATCTTCATCCAGTCTGCAGTTGATGGGCAATTGGGCTGTTTCCAAGCTTTAGCTGTTACAAACTGTGCCGCTATAAACATGCGTGTGCATATATTGCTGTATGATTGTTTTAAATCTTTTGGGAAAATACCCAGCAGAGGAATAGCTGGTCAAATGGGACCTGTAATCCTAGTTTTTGGAGGTATCTCCATATAGATTTCCACAGTGGTTGCACCAGTCTGCTCTCCCACTGACAATGGAGA